CGGTGAATGAAGGAGAGAAAGCTCAATTGAGAAGCGTCGTAGGCAGTCTAGCCTGGATTGCAAGACAAGCAAGACCTGATTTATCATACAAGGTTTCAAAGTTGCAGTCAAAATGCAACAGAGCTACAATCAAAGATCTGGTTTACGCAAAACAAGCAATCGATGAAGCCAGAGAACATTCCAATCAAGGAATAACCTACAAGTCAGATGCAATCAATTGGAAGAACTGCAGCATTGTCACAGTTTCAGACGCATCATGGTCCAACGAAGATGAGCAGGTGAAGAAGAAAGTACAGAAGTACAAAAGCCAAAGAGCACGAATGACCATTTTGGTCAACCCTGATTTCCCAAAGAAAGAGGAATCAGCGTTTCACGTCATCTCATGGCAGTCGACTATCATCAGAAGGATCTGCAGAAACACATTACAAGCAGAGACCTATGGCGTCAACTTCGCAATCGAAGAGGGCATGAGACTCCGAGCCCTGATTGCAGATCACTCAAGGACTGGGAAACCAAGAGCAGAAGCTTCCGACAACACATTTGGATCACAGATTGCAAATCGCTGGAAGAACATCTCAAGAGTGATACAGTGGGAAAGGTCGATGACAAGCGTTTATCGATCGACATACAAATGCTACGCCAACTCATTTGGGAAGATGCAAACGAAGAAGAACAAGATGAACTGAGAGACGACATGCCGGATGTAATTCAATGGATAGATACGAGTAAGATGCTCGTAGATGCACTTACCAAAGACATGAACAGTAGCGAATTGCGACACACTCTGAAAACCGGAGTGTGGAATACAGTTCCATCCCCAGAAGCACAGTTAATTAAGCTCATGAAACAGAAATATCGTCGAGAACGACGAATTCGAGAAGCAGAGGAATTAGCGGTCCCACAAGACCGGAATCACGGGTGAAAATGCACCATGTTTAATGTATAGCTGTCTTGTGCAACCATGTTCAGAGCATGCATGTACAGAGCATACCCTGCACCGCAGTGCGCTTGAGTTCAAACCTGGCAAAAAGTCGCACAACGTATTGGGATGACAAGTTGTTTGCGCGCACGCAACTGGTAGAACCCATGTGAAACTTGGTGACTCAGGGGCTGGCCATCCGGCTGCATCGACTTTTGGCAAGTTTCAGCTCGGAGTGACTTCTTGGTTTGCGATCCCACTAAGGGCCCAAAGGGTATTCAATTTGGAGTTTCGGCGTCGGGCGTATATGCTGCATATGTTCCGTCGCGGATCGACATCAGTTATTCTGCAGCTGTATCGAATATTGTTCACAGTATGGGTGCGCGCGCCCATAGATGAGGACGCTTTCTGTTCCGACATTTCCATGCATCCCGCATCATGCTTGCGTTAATCACAATCTGAAAGCGCACCAATTTTGAAATGACCTTGAACTTGGCCGCGAAACTTTCATGGGTAAGCGAGTGAGAGTGCATTCACGGAAAACATCCCCAGATGCAATTTGAAAAGGGTTCCTCATTAGAATGTGTTGTTGCATGGTTTCCTTCGCTCTTCTGACCATTTTGGCAATTTCGGCTTTGCGGAAGCCTGTGGCACAAAACAATGGGACAGGCAGGATCAGAAAAGCCGAGTTGAAGGGTTTCTTTTCCATCAAAATGACTTTCATTTCATTGTGTACATTGACATTAGAAAGTGGAAAACAAACACCACCATTTCTGTACAAAAATAAATTGTACAGCTGTTGTGCACCCTAGTTCTGTGCAGCTCATTCATGGCTGGAGACATGCAGGCCTGTGTCCTTTTAACGAGAGCAGCCTTTTCCGAAGTTGTTGAATCAGACGGTTTAATGTGCCCGACTATTCGTGGTTATCATGGTGCTACTGTAGCGGCTAGCGGCCTTTCATAATGAAAACCATACGCACATACTCGTTGGAGGGTACCTTGAAGGTTGGGAGCCGTTGTTATTTTGTAGATTCATTGGTCAAGTTGAAGGGCCAGAACAGGAATGGACCCCATCAAATTCTTATTTAAACTGCAGCATATCATCATGCAAAGGATACCCCCGTACCCTGCCTGAACCTTGGTGGAAGTCAACTTGAAAACCCACGGATTTGGTGTTTGTCCGGCAGTATGATTCTCTTGATATTTTGTTTGATGAACGAAATCTGTTTTTTTCTTTAAATGAGAGTCTACAGCTTTTGGGTGATCGGGATATCTTGTGGTTCCCGACAGCCCTGCGCTGCACCACCAGGATGGGACCACGGCGAATGAAGGCTCCGAAGGAGGACGCCCTCAGTTTGGTATGGGTAACGCCGCAAATTGGGCCATTTGGATGGAAATTCCACAACACTCAACTTGCTTTATTCTTGGTTTCTCCTGGTCTACTCGGTCAGGATGTGATCATTTTAACAGAACTGTAACAAACTGAATAACAAAGGAAGTTTGTCCTCCGATCGCTGTTTATTTTCTCAAGAAACATGTTGGTAAGCAGCAGTTTGGCGTTTTCCCTGAAAACGATGGTGGTTTGTTTGAGAACTCTGTTCTGGCCAAAATGATAAAATGATTAAAATGTATGTTTAGCATGATATAGTTTTACCATGAGTTCCAGTCCGGGTCACAAGTTGTTTATCATTTATCACCAACCCTGAATCTCGCACCCGACCTTGTCTCATCTTGAATGATCTTCTTCGCTTCCTCTTTGGCTTGTTTCTGAGAGTCTTTTTCTTCCTGTTTCTGCCTTTGTCCCGGTGTCGATGAAGATGATTTCTTGCCTTTCTTTGACTTTGTGCATTTCTTCGTATTTTTTCTCCTTGCTCTACAGCTTGGAAAAACGTGAGCTACTGTAAGCTGGCACTGAACGTCTACCAACCTCGAGTCTCGAGTTGACCGATTTATTTGTCCTTGGCCTTGTTCCTTGCGTCCAAAATGATCAGTCTTTGGAGGAAAAATCCAAGTTGAAAAACATGGATGAAAATAGGGTCAGAGGAGTGATTGCCCTCTGAAGGCTGGTTTTCAGCCAGGTGCTTTAGTTTCGGGGAAAAGCGCCAAACGCTTTTCCAATTTGTATTTTTTTTTCATAATTTGCCCACAGACGTGTTTTGGACTGTTCAGCGTCTCCCTTTTCTTGAAAGGTCGACTGACAAGATCCGTTTTGCATGTCCTCTCCTTCAAGACAGGGTTGGCGAAGGGGTCGTTTGAATTCCAAGTTTCCAAGCAAAACACTTAATGCTGGACGAATTACAGTAGGTGCATGTAGCTGTACTCATTGGGTTTCCTTTTTCTTTCTGACAGCTGCTGTCACTGACTTTATGCACGTCAAATTGTTTCCATTTATTGCGGAGAGGATTCTATAGTCCACGTTCCACTTGTCTGGCGAAAGCCGTCATTGCCCAGAAATGGCAGTGCGGATCTCGCCTCTCCAACTGATCCGATTGTCGTCATTCCAAGATGCCCAAAGTTCCTCCGGCTTGCTCTTGAACTGTGGGGTTGACATCACGTCTTGCACACTCCCAACTGCCAGGACTGTTGAATGCTCTCAGACGCCTGGGTGTTGCGGACAGGTTGGAGACCCGGTAGATGTTCTTTGCTATGGCTGCAGATCAGATGCAGTAAACACCTGACGCATTTCTCAGTTGCTGGACACATCATCATGGCTACTACCAATTCTACAGTGCTTCTGTCACAAATCTTAGATGAATACGTTGTATTTCGGTTTGTTCGCGCCGTCAAGTTTTTCAGACATTTGAAATATGCCAGAAGGTGCAAAATAGGTTCGTATTGCGCTCCAGCGTTAACTTATCAGGCCTCATGGACCTTCTACAGCAAACTACCACGATGTCAAACACCTGGCCGTTGCTATGTGCAGGGTTTAAGATGAACCTTGCCCATATGACAACAGAACCACAATTGCGGCGCCGGAGCTGCCAGGCTACGACTGCCATCAGGTGGAATGGGAATGGATGGAACTGGATTGAATTCATTTGGGATTCAAGAAGACATGTGGATATCTTCAGCACCGTGGCGATTACTGAATTGAATTTGGAGGTCATCACCAACACCCAAGGGTTCAAAGGTGTTTTTAAGCTCATGGAGGCATTTGAATGATTTGCAGGTTGCACAAAGATGTCCAGTAATGTAAGGAATGCATTAAGTCCCATGATTTTGACAAACCTCATTAAGAACCCCCCAGTAAAAACCATTACATCGACGCAGTGACAGACTATCGTTGGTGCACCACTGATTGAACGGGGGCTGATCGTGCCCCGGCTATGTCAGGAATGGGGAGCAAGCCTGCTTGCCAAGAGCGACATCAGTGATAGCTGAACTTCAGGCAAGACCCCACAAATGTCATCTAATGACGGGGGGAGTCTCACATTTAGAAATGTTCTCAACCTCGCAAAACAAACCAGGAACATGCGATTATTGGGATCTCGAAATCGTTCGGAATGTCAAATGAAGGGGTTCAGGCTCTCCTTCAGTGCTTACTTTTGCTTCAATCTTTGTTCCAGGAGGCAAAGGTGTATATATTCTGAGATACCTAATTGCAGGATGGTGGCTGAAACGCAAACTCCTGAGCCGCTCCAAGTTCATCATGGTCAGAGTCAGAGAGCATAAGCTTGGGAGCCACACAAATCCACCAATCCATGGTCTATTTGAGATGCTTTCAGGGCCCAATATTCACAGCAAATGCATCCGACCTACCATGTCAAGTAGCAGTCAACACTCGTTGCCAGGTGAAGTTGAACTCAGCTACTCCCTGTCTTCTTTGCAGAGGACTACATGATTACCCGTGAGTCGTCCTTTTAAATGGGATGCTTTTTTGGCATGGGCATAAATCCTTTGCATGTGGAATCACGCCCAAATCCAAATTTGCCTCAGTCGGGAGATTCTTGAGATTGCGAATCGTAGATTTCTGCTGCTTTGCGCTTGACAAGCTATGAAACCTTGTGAGCTGCATATTTGTATCCTCTTTTCCCGAAGCAGTTGGCACCAGTAGTTTGTGAGAGCTAGAGACAGATTCGCAATGTTGTTCCGCCAGCAATTGGCAAGGAACGTTGCCAATGCCGAGCAGGCTTATAATGCTGAGACACAGCAGATGGTGCAGGCTTGGGCAGCTGAGGTCAAGGAAAAGTTCATGGCAGAATGTGAGGCTGCATCCCACCGCCGGGAGCTTTCATTCACAATGCTGGTTGTCCTTCCGGACCACCTGACCCGCAGGCGTGTTGATCACGACCTGTTGATGGCACAGCTCAGGGGCATCGTTGCGGAGTTGGGTTTCGAAGATGGAACCCTTACCGGTTTCCAGAAGGAAGCTATCTTGCAGGCTGACGAGTTTGGCAACCTTCAAAACCTTCATCGCGCCAAGATGACTGGACACTGGGCCGGGAATGCAACGTCTAGGAGTTCTGACCGAGCCAATGGTGGCACCTGGGCACACTGCCCCATCTGCCACGAGAACGGCCCCGCTGTGGTCCTGGTTCCCTGTGGTCATGTGGTCTGCCGGGAGTGCCACCGCTGTCAGCAGCTGCATCAGTGCCCCATGTGCCGAGAGGTGACCACCTCAGTTACCAGAGGTCTCTTTGTGCAGGCGGCTTCTCCTCCACCGGAGGCTGCTCCTCAACCTGATCCTTTTGATGATCCCTGGGCTTCCACATGGAGAAGGTGAGGACAGGGACCGCCAAGTGAAGTATAGCGACTTCTGCTGCGTGGGGAGGTGGAGTTGATCTCAACAAATCCAACAATTCCTGCCAGACATCTAGGATACCATTGGGTTCTAGGCACAGGGATCTGATGTGATTATCAACTTCACTTCGAGAAATCCGATGCTAGTCCTTTTCAAGCACCCAAGTCGATGCCCAACAGCGGTGCTCGACCTTGGAAGCAGTGATCACCTGTGAAGAGTAAAACGAAGGACGTGTGCTTCGTTGCGATTTATTCATGTACCAGGCGATGGGGGATGAGATTCGACAAACTGGTGTTGCTGGAGCTTGTTTTTAGTTTCTGGTAACTCGATGTACAATGGTGGAAGTGGCTGCCTGACTCGGCTTTACTTTTCCGCCGGACTTTGTAAAAAAATGATAAACTTTGCCAGACTTGCTGTCATCCGCCTGATTCTTTCTGCAAGAGTGTTCTTTCTCCATGGGGTGCATGACTTGATGATGATCAGCCTAGTTCCCTTGGCAACCAGAAAGTGAACATGTCAATGCTAGTGGGACCTATTGAACTTTGCATCAACGTGTCCGAAATCCATGTTGGGTGTGCAGTTTGTTGCTCCTAGCAGAGAAAATCTAGTCGGCATCGCCCTCCGAGCCCTGCTTTGACCCCTGACTTGGAGATGGCCTTTGCTCAGAAGTTGGCAAGAAACGTCAACGCCTACGGTGCCGAAACGCAGCAACTGATGCAAGAGGCGGTTGCTACGATAAAGAACGACTTCATGCAATGCTGTGAAAATGCATCCAACGCCGGGAAGTGTTCTTTCAGTCGCAACTTTTGCGTTGAGGCAAAGGTAGAGAATAGGCAGGATTACAGCTGTGAAAAAATGCGGGACCTACTCAAAGAGGGCCTGGCAGATCTGGGGCTCCAACGCTGTGACTGTGAAGTCCACCCATCGGGCCTTGATAGTTATGTGTTTCAAATGAGTGCCACATGGACAGCAGATGCTGAGACTTCCCGCAAGGGGGAGAGCATCAACCCTTGCTCCGGTGGCACCCGTGTGACGTGTCCCATCTGTCACGAGCATCGCCCAGCTGTGGCCTTGGTGCCCTGTGGCCACGTGGTGTGCCGCGACTGCCATCGTTCCAAACAGCTGCGCCAGTGCCCCATGTGCCGCAAGGTGATCACTTCGGCCACCCAAGGGCTCTTCATGGACTGAGCCCTGTGGGCTGGTGGTGGTTGCTAGGCACCTGCTTTGGTGGGCTGAATCTTCTTATCTTCTTGGATGAGAGGATCCTGCCTGGCACATGGCAGGAACATGTGCCTCGCTTTTTGAATCTTGGAGACATTTGGCTCTGGCCTTTGCGAGATGGATGCCAGATGCTTCTTTGATGCCAGACAGTGAGTGGCATAGCAGTTTTGGATCCTCAACAACTCGGGGTATGAGGCCCTCTCGGTTTCAAGCTGGATGTTTGTGATCTCTTGTGCCCCCACAGAGAGAGGGGCGTGGCAGCTTACCCGAACAGTGAGTGTGAATTTGACTTTCAAGCATCCTTTCCACAACCTTATTTTCAGTTTTATTTGCAAAAGGAACATTTGATTTCTGGTGCCTACTTCATTTCTGATTTGGCTTATGCTGATTGCAAAGTTTGAAAAAAAGTGCTAAGAGTGTACCTCAATGATCAGTTTCGCCTTCCGAAACAGTCGGATGGTCGGATGCTAGAAAGATTCCGTCCCTTTTAACCATCCGAGTTGATGCCCAAAAGCGGTGTTCGATCTTGCCACAAAGATCACAGGTGAAAGGTTGAAAACAAAAGGGTCGGCTCCTGGGATCGATGCAATTGGTCCAGTTGTGGTTTGAAGGGTGGTTTTTTTGATGAGTTTCGGACAAATTTCTCGGCAAAGTCGAGACTTGTCGTCTGGGAGTGGAGGGACTTCACCTTTTCGAATCATTTTCTGCGGATGGCATTCCCGGCTCACCAGGATCAACTGATGGAGTTGTTGGCCTCAGGTCACCTGAAGGCACGGGGATGGGGAGCAGACGCCTACGCCGTACATGCCAATTCCTTACCAATTGCAGCAGCACTGTCTGGGTTTACATGGTCAGTGGTGACCGATCCAGCACGAAGACAATTTCAAGAAATGTTTCAGTCTGCTGTGTTTACTGTACATGGTGGACCTGGTGACTTGGAATCATATGCCAGCAACCAGCGGCAGGCGAAGTGGACTTCTGCCATTGATGTTCTCTGAGTTGCAGGCGAAGCATTTTGGGTTCAGCTCGCGCGACTTGCGCACGGATCCATGTGTGTGTGTGTGTTAAACTGGGAGGCAAGCCGACAAATCATTGGTTTTACTCTTGCATAGCAAGTCATCGTATAGGTTTATCTATAATGTTACTGTTTGATAATTTATATTCATTTTGACTTGTACATAGAAGTGGGTTGTTTGCAACATGTGATATGCCACCATGTCAGCCAGATCATAAGGATTCTTGGAGTTGATGGCTTGGCCTCGACCACCACTTTTTGCGAAGCGGCGTGCCATGATGCAATTGTGCAGGGCGTGCCTCGTTCACTTCATGGTGTGATTTGTTTACCTAATACGGCGCATCTAAATGCAACTGTGCTGGGCGTGTTTCGTTACCTTCATGGCATGATTCGTTAAATTATATATATAGAACGGCGCATCTAGGTCTGCTACCGGGTGCCTGGGGGGTGGGGTCGCGCTGACACGGATGACGTTGTGCGGATGGGGTATGACAGAATGCAATAGTATATGTCAGTTAGAATGAAAATTATTGGAATGTCAGATAGAATGCCACAGAGAAGATTGCAATATATATATTTTTCTTCCTGTTTGTGTATTATATTTTGTACTGTTTTTTTTTGGGTTCCCTCTTTTGGCCGCGCTAAATTTCGGGGGATCAAACAGATACATACCGTGCACTAAGGCCTTGATTAGAGGTCCGTCGGATCCGTGATCCTAGCGGTTGCCGTTCGGGACCCGCCCACGCTTTGAGGTCATAGACCGAGAGATCAAAACGGAACGCAGGATTTTCCCCATGGACAAAACAAGATACTTTGTAAATTTTGTGATTAGTTTGCTTGAGTCCTGTGGGCTATTCGCTTTGAAACATCAAGCGGGTTCACGGGCGAGGCTGGGGGACAATATGAACATTGTGACGACTCTGGGAGGACATACGTTGTTGCTGCGACCAGAAGTCTGGAGAAGTGTGATTGTTTTTTTTATTTCTGGCAACATTTTTTATCTTGGTGTCATCCAAGTAGCAGCAATTTTGAGCTCTTCTCGGCTCAATCTTCATGTTCAGTATTGTATCTTGTGTCCCTGAATGTTTTCTTCCGCCCGTGCTCGTGTGGTCCTGATCATCCTGATTCTATGTTTTAGTGCCAGTGCATGGCTGGGCATTTACACGAATCCACATGGTCAGACCCGATCCGCGAAATACTTCGCCGCCCCGGCCGGCAACGCCACAGCCACAGTTGGTGGTAGACCAATCCCGAGTTTTGGCAACGCAACAAAACCGACAGACCTCGCTGCCGCAGAGCCATTAATATCATCGACCTGCGGATGGAAGGCCCCTTATGCCTGCGGCTGCGCGGATGACGACAATGACATTGCGACCATGCGCCGAATACTTTGGAATCAAACAGCTTTGGAGTTGCTGAACGCTGGGCTTAGCCAGCCAAAGTACGAAAAACATAGCAACTACACGTTCCTACAAGTGCATGAGGCGGGCTTTGAAGAGCTTCGCCGTAGGTTTGCTGTTTTTTTTGAAAATCAAGCGGCATCCAATATTTTGTGTGAACACGTTGTCATCAAGGTGAGTATTTTTCCCAAAACGCAACTTTCGCGGCGCAGAATTCATGATGTGGAAACTAAGATAGGTGACACTTACACAGGCCCCAGAGGCTGCGGAATCTACGTCTTGAGCGATTGGCAGATTGCAGCTATGAAGAGAACAAATGTAAATGGTTGGAATACCCTGGCATTTCCCACCGATGATTTCGTTTCAAACCTGACAAAGATTGGGAACGAGTCGGAAGCAAACGGGCTCTCCAACGAGCTTCAGCGCTTCTTCAATATTCTCAAGATCACTGTGGGTTTCCTTGTCCCTTCGAGCGTCAACAAAGTCACCTTTGGTGATTGGAAGTGCAACGTGGTGGGTTTCCACCAAGACTCTGAACGGTCCAACAGGAGCAACATCAGTGACTTTGAGGTGGTTAGGCATCGTAAAAATTTCAACAAGAGTCTTGAGTCTGAGTGGATTGATAATCATGGACGTGTGTTTTCAAGACACGAGTGGGCAGCCCTCCGAGACATTGAGAGGCTGAAGTTATTTTTAGGCCCTAACGTGATAAAGCGCACTGTAAACATGTCTGACATTATGTGTACAACATGGCATCTAGGACGGAAAAGACAAGCTCTGGCACGCTTTGCCTTGAGATGGTTTTGGTATACTGCTGCTTTTACAATGCGGCCCCAACTGACTTACAACTTGGCTTTGTTTGATTGTGGAGAAAGCTTGGCTGTGAATTACCCGAAACAAACCTGGTATTGTGGCTTCTGAAGAACATCATCTCTGCCGACACGGAGCTCCATGGCGGGTTCCAACTGCCGTGAAATGACACATGATAATTTGTTTTCTAGGTGCCTTCCAGCTGCCATTTGAGCTGCTTTCAAAGATTCAATTCAAAGCAGGTAAGCACGTGGTCAAAAGCTGAGGCTTCATGTGGGTCCTTTGGTCTTGGTTTGCTGGCGAACCTTCTGCTCATGTTCAATAGGAGCCAATGGAAAAAGCCCAGAGATGGGATGAGATTGGATTGATTGTAGATGGGTCCGTAGGTGACAAACCATGTCGAATCTGAATGGCCCTGGCAACCAGGCCAGGATGTGATGTGGAGTTTCTTTCGTTGAGAGGAAGTCAAGCTTTTTTCTTGCACCAATCTATACTGGTTGGTGGTTTGGAACACGTTTTATTTTCCATTTCATATGGGGTGAACCAGTCAACTGAGGTGGACCCGGGAATTTGGCGCTTTGCGAAGGCGCTTTATTTTTGGGGCAGTTTTAAACGCCCTGATACGCAGCCAGAAGCATCCTCAAAAAGGGAGAAAACCCAGGCATTCAGACAGATCCCTACAGAACCCTACCATTCTTATCCAATGGGTCTGGAGAGAAGGGTTGCATGGACTTACAAACCGAAAAACATAGGGTGTCATTTCCGGCAAACTTTCCTTGCAGATCTTTTCGCTGCAGATTGTGGTGCTAGCTTCAATGTTCCACGCAGAACAATTCAAAACTTATGATGATCCCGATCCAATTCAAACTCCTTCAAGATACATAGGATGATTGACATCACCAGCAAACATGATTCCAAAACAAGTTCGAAACCTACCGGTCACTTATTCAGGTAGAGGATGTGGAAGGTAGACGATAGAGATATCTTTGTTGTTCTGGATGAGTTAAATCGTGTTAGCAGTTGCCCTGTTTCCATATGGCAGCACATCAACTGTTGCTCTTGTCTTGGTCTTGGTCAAGAAGATCCCAGTGGCAGGTTCTCTCCAACGAACATCACAACATGGCGTCGTAGTTCGCGCGCAAGCCTCCTGGAGGATGCAGATCGTTCTCAGCCCTCTTTGGATGTGGCAGATTGCTGGAACATTGGGAAGCAAGATTTGAAGATGAAATAATGGTGACGAAAATGCCATTTCTTCTTTTGTCACTGGAGAAGTTATGATAAACCATGGGACGTTCGAAGTCACAGAGATCTCCAAGTTTGTGGATGGCTCATAGAAGGATTCCCTTGAGGGGCGACAACTGGTTGGTGACTTCGCCATCGAAGGATTTTTCTTTAGCCATGAAGCAGAAGGCCGATGTCAAAGTAAACGCTTGCCATATCTTACTTCAAATCCAACTGAGATGGCGTCAAAGGCGGAAGGCTGATGAGTTTTGGGATGTTCCCAGCTCGCCTCCAGGACGGCGGAGTAAACGGCGCGTGAGACATTAAGGTGAGGACGGACACGAATGACGTGTCCTGTTGCCAGTGCATGTAGCCAGATTCAACGAATGTCCAAAGATTTGTGCACCAGTTGCATGACATACGTGCTGCATGTATTCTGGAGACAAATCTTGTAGAAACTTGTTGAACCTTGAAGCTAGAGTAACGTTTTAAGCAGCAGTTGAAGTCGGAGTTTTCATTTGATGTTCTACACTCAAGTCTTCAGCTTTTAGATGCTGCGCCTGACGCATTGGATTTTCATGTATTCTCTGCCTTTTCATGGCAGCTTGGCCTTGTGCAAGTCCAGGGCGTTGCTATGCCGCTAATTATGATTTGCCTTTGCAGTTCCTTGTGCCAGGAAATTCGGAGTTCCAGATTTGAAGCATTGAGGCAGACTGTTGATCTTTTTTGATGCTAGTGAATGGAGCCCGGATTTCAACACACACACACAGACTTGTGTACCAGTTGTACAGCATAGTTACTCTGACAAATCTTGCACATGTTGAAGATTGGAAGAAGAATGAAAACAGGTTCCAGGTTCAAGTTGGGCTGTGAGTCAGTTTTTATGTCAATGTGATGTCCAACTGTTTTGGTAATTTGACTCCAGATTTCCACCTCTTTCGGTCGTCCCTATTGAAAACGAATGAACACGATATACGGTAGGATAATTGTTTCTTGTTGTGCGTTACAGATTTTCAGTCTACCTTCCCTCGCCAAGTAAACCATGCCATGGGCATGTCTCTTTTGCAGGTGGGTGTAGTCGCAGCCAGTGGCTACAGAGGAGCCATGGCAACGACTATATATTATATATATATGTTTTTCTTCCTGTGTGTATTATATTTTGTACTGTTTTTTTTTTGGGTTCCCTCTTTTGGCCGCACTAAATTTTGGGGGATCAAACAGATACATACAAGATGACATAACTATTTTCTGGGGATCATGCCCCGTGCACTACCGTGCACTAAGGCCTTGATTCGAGGTCCGTCGGATCCGTGATCCTAGCGGTTGCCGTTCGGGACCCGCCCACGCTTTGAGGTCATAGACCGAGAGATCAAAACGGAACGCAGGATTTTCCCCATGGACAAAACAAGATACTTTGTAAATTTTGTGATTAGTTTGCTTGAGTCCTGTGGGCTATTCGCTTTGAAACATCAAGCGGGTTCACGGGCGAGGCTGGGGGACAATATGAACATTGTGACGACTCTGGGAGGACATATGTTGTTGCTGCGACCAGAAGTCTGGAGAAGTGTGATTGTTTTTTTATTTCTGGCAACATTTTTTATCTTGGTGTCATCCAAGTAGCAGCAATTTTGAGCTCTTCTCGGCTCAATCTTCATGTTCAGTATTGTATCTTGTGTCCCTGAATGTTTTCTTCCGCCCGTGCTCGTGTGGTCCTGATCATCCTGATTCTATGTTTTAGTGCCAGTGCATGGCTGGGCATTTACACGAATCCACATGGTCAGACCCGATCCGCGAAATACTTCGCCGCCCCGGCCGGCAACGCCACAGCCACAGTTGGTGGTAGACCAATCCCGAGTTTTGGCAACGCAACAAAACCGACAGACCTCGCTGCCGCAGAGCCATTAATACCATCGACCTGCGGATGGAAGGCCCCTTATGCCTGCGGCTGCGCGGATGACGACAATGACATTGCGACCATGCGCCGAATACTTTGGAATCAAACAACTTTGGAGTTGCTGAACGCTGGGCTTAGCCAGCCAAAGTACGAAAAACATAGCAACTACACGTTCCTACAAGTGCATGAGGCGGGCTTTGAAGAGCTTCGCCGTAGGTTTGCTGTTTTTTTTGAAAATCAAGCGGCATCCAATATTTTGTGTGAACACGTTGTCATCAAGGTGAGTATTTTTCCCAAAACGCAACTTTCGCGGCGCAGAATTCATGATGTGGAAACTAAGATAGTTGACACTTACACAGGCCCCAGAGGCTGCGGAATCTACGTCTTGAGCGATTGGCAGATTGCAGCTATGAAGAGAACAAATGTAAATGGTTGGAATACCGTGGCATTTCCCACCGATGATTTCGTTTCAAACCTGACAAAGATTGGGAACGAGTCGGAAGCAAACGGGCTCTCCAACGAGCTTCAACGCTTCTTCAATATTATCAAGATCACCGTGGGTTTCCTTGTCCCTTCGAGCGTCAACAAAGTCACCTTTGGTGATTGGAAGTGCAACGTGGTGGGTTTCCACCAAGACTCTGAACGGTCCAACAGGAGCAACATCAGTGACTTTGAGGTGGTTAGGCATCGTAAAAATTTCAACAAGAGTCTTGAGTCTGAGTGGATTGATAATCATGGACGTGTGTTTTCAAGACACGAGTGGGCAGCCCTCCGAGACATTGAGAGGCTGAAGTTATTTTTAGGCCCTAACGTGATAAAGCTCACTGTAAACATGTCTGACATTATGTGTACAACATGGCATCTAGGACGGAAAAGACAAGCTCTGGCACGCTTTGCCTTGAGATGGTTTTGGTATACTGCTGCTTTTACAATGAGGCCCCAACTGACTTACAACTTGGCTTTGTTTGATTGTGGAGAAAGCTTGGCTGTGAATTACCCGAAACAAACCTGGTATTGTGGCTTCTGAAGAACATCATCTCTGCCGACACGGAGCTCCACGGCGGGTTCCAACTGCCGTGAAATGACACATGATAATTTGTTTTCTAGGTGCCTTCCAGCTGCCATTTGAGCTGCTTTCAAAGATTCAATTCAAAGCAGGTAAGCACGTGGTCAAAAGCTGAGGCTTCATGTGGGTCCTTTGGTCTTGGTTTGCTGGCGAACCTTCTGCTCATGTTCAATAGGAGCCAATGGAAAAAGCCCAGAGATGGGATGAGATTGGATTGATTGTAGATGGGTCCGTAGGTGACAAACCATGTCGAATCTGAATGGCCCTGGCAACCAGGCCAGGATGTGATGTGGAGTTTCTTTCGTTGAGAGGAAGTCAAGCTTTTTTCTTGCACCAATCTATACTGGTTGGTGGTTTGGAACACGTTTTATTTCCATTTCATATGGGGTGAACCAGTCAACTGAGGTGGACCCGGGAATTTGGCGCTTTGCGAAGGCGCTTTATTTTTGGGGCAGTTTTAAACGCCCTGATACGCAGCCAGAAGCATCCTCAAAAAGGGAGAAAACCCAGGCATTCAGACAGATCCCTACAGAACCCTACCATTCTTATCCAATGGGTCTGGAGAGAAGGGTTGCATGGACTTACAAACCGAAAAACATAGGGTGTCATTTCCGGCAAACTTTCCTTGCAGATCTTTTCGCTGCAGATTGTGGTGCTAGCTTCAATGTTCCACGCAGAACAATTCAAAACTTATGATGATCCCGATCCAATTCAAACTCCTTCAAGATACATAGGATGATTGACATCACCAGCAAACATGATTCTAAAACAAGTTCGAAACCTACCGGTCACTTATTCGGGTAGAGGATGTGGAAGGTAGACGATAGAGATATCTTTGTTGTTCTGGATGAGTTAAATCGTGTTAGCAGTTGCCCTGTTTCCATATGGCAGCACATCAACTGTTGCTCTTGTCTTGGTCTTGGTCAAGAAGATCCCAGTGGCAGGTTCTCTCCAACGAACATCACAACATGGCGTCGTAGTTCGCGCGCAAGCCTCCTGGAGGATGCAGATCGTTCTCAGCCCTCTTTGGATGTGGCAGATTGCTGGAACATTGGGAAGCAAGATTTGAAGATGAAATAATGGTGACGAAAATGCCATTTCTTCTTTTGTCACTGGAGAAGTTATGATAAACCATGGGACGTTCGAAGTCACAGAGATCTCCAAGTTTGTGGATGGCTCATAGAAGGATTCCCTTGAGGGGCGACAACTGGTTGGTGACTTCGCCATCGAAGGATTTTTCTTTAGCCATGAAGCAGAAGGCCGATGTCAAAGTAAACGCTTGCCATATCTTACTTCAAATCCAACTGAGATGGCGTCAAAGGCGGAAGGCTGATGAGTTTTGGACAAATTTCTCGGCAAAGTCGAGACTCATCGCCTGGGAGTGGAGCGGTTTTACCTTTTTCGAATCATGTCTGGGGATGGCATTCCCAGCTCGCCTCCAGGAAGGAGGAGTTTGGCGCGTGAGACATTTGGTAAGGTGAGGACGGACAGATTCAACGTGTCCTGTTGCCAGTGCATGTAGCCAGATTCAACGAATGTCCAAAAATTTGTGCACCAGTTGCATGACATACGTGCTGCATGTATTCTGGAGACAAATCTTGTAGAAACTTGTTGAACCTTGAAGCTAGAGTAACGTTTTAAGCAGCAGTTGAAGTCGGAGTTTTCATTTGATGTTCTACACTCAAGTCTTCAGCTTTTAGATGCTGCGCCTGACGCATTGGATTTTCATGTATTCTCTGCCTTTTCATGGCAGCTTGGCCTTGTGCAAGTCCAGGGCGTTGCTATGCCGCTAATTATGATTTGCCTTTGCAGTTCCTTGTGCCAGGAAATTCGGAGTTCCAGATTTGAAGCATTGAGGCAGACTGTTGATCTTTTTTGATGCTAGTGAATGGAGCCCGGATTTCAACACACACACAGACTTGTGTACCAGTTGTACAGCATAGTTACTCTGACAAATCTTGCACATGTTGAAGATTGGAAGAAGAATGAAAACAGGTTCCAGGTTCAAGTTGGGCTGTGAGTCAGTTTTTATGTCAATGTGATGTCCAACTGTTTTGGTAATTTGACTCCAGATTTCCACCTCTTTCGGTCGTCCCTATTGAAAACGAATGAAAACGATATACGGTAGGATAATTGTTTCTTGTTGTGCGTTATAGATTTTCAGTCTACCTTCCCTCGCCAAGTAAACCATGCCATGGGCATGTCTCTTTTGCAGGTGGGTGTAGTCGCAGCCAGTGGCTACAGAGGAGCCATGGCAACGACTACCCACTACCCTGGAAGAGAATCTCGAGAGCGCTTTCTTGAAGGTGATTGACAGTGAAGCCCAAGTAACCCCAAGTACTGGATATGGAAACATGTTACCCCGCATCAATTCCGGTGTTTCCTGATTGGTTATCCTAATGCATGTTGTGGACCAGACTCAAAGCCATGGAAGTGATCCAACATGGAAAATCACCACTTGGAGACAGGCTCTTCCGGGCTCTTTGTGCCACTATTGCATCACCTTCGGGTCATTATGCAATATATTGCAATATTATAATATATGATAATATATGTATATGTTTATTATTTACTTTGGATGAGAATCCAGAGGGTTTGGAGTTTAAATTTGAAACCCAGCGGTCCTGCTGGTTATTTTTTCTCAGTTGATGGCCCAGGTTGCCCATTCGCACTACAGGGGTTCTGGTTACATCAACTGGAGTTGGAGATAGCCTTTGTGGATGATTCGCCAAAATTGGATTTTTGTCTTCCCCAACAACGATGAAAAAAGATCCAAGCTGAGATAAACATCATGACTATCTCCATCAAACAGGTGGGAGTTGACGGGTTGACTTGTCATGACAATGTCAGGACTGGAAAGCGCTTGCGAGTGGCCTGAGCTTAGCGAAGGCTCAGCTTGAGGCAGGGGGCCCACCGATGTGGCCAGCATGTGCAACAGTAACATGACATAGCTTGAATTAGCTTGAGGTCTCTTAGAATCTTGACGTCTTGTTTGATGATGTTGGATATGAACAATGATTCAGCGTTTCCTCTCTGTGACACTGCCATGTATTCAATCGTAGGTGCAACCCAAGATCACACACACACACCCACACACCAGTACACACGTCACCGAGGCATGGACTTACTACTTTGCTTTCCTCGAACACCAACTTTTCACTTTTCAATTTTGCAACACTGTTAGAAAGGGCAAGGGTTGTGTTGGAAGACGCTATGGGCTATGCACCTAAAAATTGGAAGGGTGCAAGACATACCAAACACACCAAGCAGTACTAAACTATTGGAACGTATTGAGTATGTTCCTGTTTTCTCGCTCCCAGGTGTAACCACTCTCAACTGCCAGCCGGGACTTCGCCGTTGCTTCAAAGAAAGGAGTGACAAGGGTTTGGGTTTCCAACTGGTCAACTGAGGAATTCGCAAAGGTCCATGTTGCTTGAAGAGGCAACTAAACAAAACATTGGTTGCTTTGGGAGGTTGTTGTTGAGATTTGGAATGGCAAATGGGTCTCCAGCTTGAAGCACTGAATCGCATGTATGCTGCATTTGTTTGCGAAACAATTGCCACCAGCACCTCTGAGAAGGCTAGACTAGACTTGTCGTAAACAGCATCGCCGGAGCCGCTCATTCGTCATGTCGTTCTGTCAGCGGTTGGCAAGGAAGACTGTCAATGTCCAGCAGGCGTATGATATGGAGACCCAGCAGCTGCTACAGCTTTGTGTGACTGAGATCAACTAAAGTTCATCCAGGAATGCAAAGCTGCAGCGGATCGGCGTCTGTTTTCCTGCAGCATGGTGCTTCCACATAATCCGCAGCTGTGTGACATGCGCGGTGGACGGGATCTCTTGCAACAGCAGCTCCAGGGCATGCTGACGGAACTGGGCTTCAAAGATGCAACCGCCAATGTCTTTCGCGATTGCAGTGGAAGAATAAATGCAGAATGGACCGCTGACGATGCAGCCTCCGGCAGCCCCGAGCGGAGCCCCAAAGCCGCAAGCGGCACCTGCGTGACGTGTCCCATCTGCCACGAGCATTGCCCAGCTGTCGCCTTGGTGCCCTGTGGCCACGTGGTTTGCCGCGACTGCCAACGTTGCCAGCAGCTGCGCCAGTGCCCCATGTGCCGCAAGGTCATCACATCAGCAACTGAAGGTCTCTTCATGGACTGAGGCCATCTGCTGATGGTTGCTGGCACCTGGCCTTGGTGGGCTGGATTTTCTTGGATGAGATGATCCCGCCTAGCTCGTGGCAGTGAAAGGTGCTTCACTTTTTTCAAGATGGATGCTGCATGCTCTTTTGATGCCCGACAGTGAGTGGCACAGCAGTTTTGGATACTCGGAAGTCGAGGTGTGAAGCTCGCCCCTGTATGCCTCGTGATCTTGAATGCCCCGACAGTGAGAGGGGCGTGGCAGCTTCCATGAACATGTAGTGCGGATTTGATTTTTGAAGCATCCCTCCCACAACCTCTTCTTTAGACTGTTTTTTTAGCGAAGCGTATGGATTCCATTTCTGATGTCTGGTCTGTGGTGATCACAAAAGAAGTGGGAAGATGTGGGAAGGATGTGCCTGACCTCAGTGATCGGCTTCTCTTCCTAAATAGTCGGATGCTAGAAAGGCGCAGTCCTTTTTCACCATCTGAACCAATGCCCAAAAGCGGTGTTCGACCTTAGCAGCAGTGATCACAGCTGATCACATTTGGCAAAGCAACAGGCAGCTCGTGGGGTCAATGCGATTCCAGCTGTAAGTCCAACGTAGAAAGCATAGCAGTCCGCCTCCAAATTGGAAGCCTGGGCGACGCACCTGGGGAAGATATATATGTAAGATATATGGCCACTTCTTCTTGGGGGTCTGCACATTCTTTGGACGCGAAAGCTGATAAATTTGGAGAGTCGTTTGGCAAAGTCGATGCTCATTCATTAGGGGTGCAGGGGCTTCACCTTCCAAATCATATCTGGGGATTCTGATGGCCAAACGCGCCGCCAGGACCATTTGGTGCACCTGCTGGCAGGCCTTAGGCCACCGGAAGGCAGGGAGAGCAAAACCTTCCCACTTGCAGTGTGGCTGTGTGGATTCTATATGGGCACTGGTGACCAACCCAGCATGAAATAATTACATCTAAGGACATGTTTGAATCGTGTACAGTACACACGGTGACTGGGAGTCAGATGCCAGCAGCCAGTTTTGGATTCATTGGCAGGCGAAGTGGACCTCTGCCATTGATGTTCTCTGAGTTGCAGGCGAAGCATTTTGGGTTTGGCTCGCGCGACTTGCGCACGGATCCATGTGTGTGTGTGTGTTAAACTGGAAGGCAAGCCGACAAATCTTTGGTTTTACTCTTGCATAGCAGGTCATCGTATAGGTTTATCTACGTATAATGTTTGATAATTTATATTCATTTTGACTTGTACATAGAAGTGGGTTGTTTGCAACATGTGATATGCCAGCATGTCAACCAGATCATAAGGATTCTTGGAGTTGATGGCTTGGCCCCGACCAGTTTTTGCGAAGCATTGGCCACCAGCAGTTGTGAGTAGCTCCCCATCCATCATGTCCTTCGCTCAGCAGTTGGCAAGGAAGACTGCCGCTGCCATGGAGGAGTTTCGGCGCTCCGAGGAGGTTGAGATGCAGCAACTTCTGCAGACCTGGGTGGCTGAGACCAAGGAAAAATTCATGGCAGACTGTGAAGAAGCTGCCCTTCAGCGGAAATGTTGCTGCAGAATGTTGCTGGACCATCCTGACCACCTGATTAGAAGAGATGTTAGTGAAAGCATCTTCCTGGAGCAGTTGCAAGCTATGCTTTCAGAGTTGGGCTTCCACAAAGGAATCGTTACAGTTGCAACCATGTGGCAGAAGAAAGGCAGGCACTGGCAAAATGTTCGCTGCTTGCAGCTGACCGCACAGTGGACAGTGGATGATGGAGCTTCCTCCGGCTCGGACACACCTCCGAAGGCCGCTGGTGGCAGCTGTGCAACGTGTCCCATTTGTCACGATCAACGCCCACCGGTGGTCCTGGTGCCCTGTGGCCATGTGGTTTGTCAAGATTGCCATCGGGATCATCCACTGAAGAAGTGCCCCATGTGCCGGGCGGCCACAACTTCGGCCACAAGAGGTTTGTTCATGAGCTGATGTCATCTCTTGGTGGGTGGCAGACTTCAGTGAAAGGCAGCTTTGAATCCTTGAGAGATTCGGGTGTCAGTCTGCTGGATGGCCTTTTTGTTCCGACAGGAGAAACTGATGCAAGACGATGACGTAGTTTTCTTAGCTCAAGCAAGTTGCGGTAAGCAGTTTAGCCGTGTTTCGCATAGTTTGGCGGTAGGTGCATGTCCTCTCCTACGAGACAACATTGACTGGGCATGATTGTCGCCACAAATTAGTCCATAGCTGTACTCATAGGCGTTTAACTTTTGTGTTGGTAGCTGCCTTGAAAGAACATCACTAACATCACAATGAAATTGCTTTCAACTGTCGCCGGAGAGGATTCTCCACATTTCACTTGTCCCCCAAAGAGCTTCACTGCCAGTGCAGCTCTTGCCCTTCCAACCTACAACTTCAAGCGCGATCGGAGCCCGGTGCCAGAGTACAGCACTCAGAAGGCTTCCGACTGATCAATCCAATTCAAAGATATTCAACGCCCAGAAGTGGCTCATGTGAGAGAAGCGAGCAAAAAGAAGGAACTAACTAAGTACGTTTCGTGCCTGTGTGTGGTGTTTTGTTTTTGAACTTAAATGTCCCACGAAATCAAGACTTGCAGAGTTTCCACTTCGTTTGCTCGATTTGCTAGGATCTGCCGCCCCCCCTTCCAGTGGCCTTCCAGGAATCCTGTTCCTATTTGCCAGGACTTTCAGATGGATTCTTCAGTTTGAGACAGTCGATGCTCCACGCAGGCTGGAGAATTGGGCGGACGCGCCGGACGCTTCGTGCTGCTGTGCAGATGTATACCGGATGAAAACTTACTGGTGCTTAGTAGGGAATGGATGGGAATGGGGGAATGGGATGATTATTACTAATGTTACTAATGATTATGGATCATTCCCTCATTCCCTGCTAAGCACCAGTAAGAAAAAGCATCAATGACTTCGCTCTTGTCATCTCCGTGTCAGTCACCATCTCCAGCCCAGTGACCAATGGCCCTGCAGGTGTAGCACAAGTGCCGCAGCGCGGGCGCTTTGAGGTGCCATGGTAGGAGCAACGTGTGAGGGCTGAAAGGGGATAGCACTGAAACCAGCCATTTGCGGCCATCATTTGAAGCGATTGCCTATAAACACTGGGGTGAATTTGGGGCACTCTCATGGAAACATTTGCTTGTGGCCTCACAGGCGGCGCACATGTCTTTTAAGTCATGGCTAAGCGATCTACATGGGGGGAACATGGTGGACGACTGAGAAGAGTTGCTAGGGATCATGAAATGCCCAGGTGAAGCTGGTTCAAGTCACGACGTGATGCCATCTTGAAAGGAGATTGGGTTTGGGTTCTGGGTTTGGGCAGGGTGCTGTGGCAGCTTCACGCGTGCTGTTAGAAGAAACAACTACAACCAAACCGCTGAAATTTGGTGGCAGTTGTTTGTGAGCAGGTCATGGAGTTGCGATTTGTGAATCCCAATGCCTTTGAACTTTCAGTTTGATAATTGCACGTTTTGCGGAGCATTGGCACGGGAAAGAGTGAGTTGTCTTCGCGGCTACGCCTCCTGAGCGCTCGTCCCTGTATATCATGTCGTTCCGTCAGCAGGTGGCAAAGAAGTCCGTGGAGGCTCAGCAGGCATATGACATTGAGACGCAGCGACTCCAGCAGCTTTGGGTGGCTGAGATCAAGGAGAAGTTCATGGCAGAATGCGGTTTTGCTGCTGACCAGCGGCGGCTTTCCTGCACCATGCTGGTTGATCGTCCCAACCACATCACAAGCAGGGGTGTTCCTCCCGACTCTTTGCAGCAGCAGCTCCAGGGCCTTTTGGCGGAGTTGGGCTTCCAAGATGGATCTGTAGATCCCTTTAAACCCTTTGGGGTCTATCAGAATGGTCATAGATGTATTGTTGCCCACAGAGGCAGTCTGACCGCGAAATGGGCCTCTGAGGATGCGATCTCCACCAGCCCTGAGCGCAGCCCCAAAGCCGCAAGCGGCACCTGTGTGACGTGTCCCATTTGTCACGAGCACCGCCCAGCTGTGGCCTTGGTGCCCTGTGGCCACGTGGTTTGCCGCGACTGCCACTGCTGCCACTGCTGCCAGCAGCAGCTGCGCCAGTGCCCCATGTGTCGCAAGGTGATCACTTCGGCCACCCAAGGGCTCTTCATGGATTGAGGCATTGGCTGTGGATGTTGGTTGCTAGGCACCTGCTTTGGTGGGCTGAATCTTCTTATCCTCTTGGATGAGAGGATCCTGCCTGGTGCATGGTCGGAAGAGGTGCCTCACTTTTTGAATCTTGGAGACATTTGGCTCTGGCCTTTTCAAGATGGATGCCAAATGTTTCTTTGATGCCCGACAGTGAGTGGCATAGCAGTTTTGGATCCTCGATAACTCGGGGGTATAAGGCTTTCCCGGTTTTGCCTCGTGACCTTTTTGCCCCCACAGTGAGAGGGGGATGGCACCTTCCACGAACAGGTAGTGTGGATTTGATTTTGAAGCATCCCTTCCACAACTTTCAGATTTTTTGAACAAAAAGAAAGAGCATTTAGGATTCTGGCGCCCTGCCCATTTCTGATTTTATTTGTGGGAAGGATGAAAGATGTGCCACAATGATCACCTTTTCCGAAAAGGTCGGATGCTAGAAAGATTCCGTCCCTTTTGACCATCCGAGTCGATGCCCAAAAGCGGTATGCGACCTTGCCACAGAGATCGCAGATGAAAGGTTAAAACAAGAGTCGAGATGGACTGCTCCTTGTCCTTGGGCCCATGAATCCAGTTGAGTATCAAGGATGAAGTGATGAGTTTGGACAAATCGTTTGGCAAAGTTGCCAATTACTCATTGACCGCGAATGGAGGGATTGCACCTTCTTCAAATCATGTCTGGGGATGGCATTCCCTCTCCGCCAGGACCATCTGATGGATCGGCCTCAGGCTACTGGATGGCATGGGGGAGCAGCCAGCTTGGGTTCTGTAGGGGCGCTGGTAACCAATCCAACGTCCAACGTGAAGACATGGCTACAATTAGAGGATGGCTTGCTTTTCTATCCACATTGGGGACCATTCACAACAGTGAGCAAACATGGGAAGTGATCTCTGTAAGATGGGCTGTTTCTCGATCTTGTGACTTGTGACCTTCAAGCAACTTGTTGGATCTTGTTGGTCTATTTCATCGTCGCAGACGGAGGCACTCCGGCTGCTTGAGACTGTTGAAATCAAGGCTGGACGCCACGGCTGATGACGGCCTAGGGTGGCCGGGTCGAAAGGTTTCAAAGTTTCGCAGATCTCCGCCACTCATGTTTGGTGCGAAAGCTGGTGAAGCTTCAAAGGTAGGGAAAGTTATTGGGCAATGATGCAGAGTCTTAAGTTGCTTCAAGTTTTGTGGGTTTTGTCATGTTTTCTTTTTTGAAGCACGAAGACGCAAAATCTTGTGATGCTTTTTGCATCACACTTGATAGTCCAGGAATATATTGATGGTGGCACGTGGCACGGAAATTAGCTCGGCATGCATACTAAGCGCTGCAATCCATAGTCAGCACATCGTTGCTAAGCACTGTAGCTCCTGGAAGTCTTTTTCCGATGCTTGATAGCTGAAGTTTTGTTCTGTGATCAGCCTTGACATGCATCTATGGCAGATTTGGCCTTCACATGCGTTCGCATCTTTGGTTGATTTCCTGCATTTTCACTTCGCCTTTGCCAGTTTTCATTGCCCAAATCATGGCCTGTCTTGGCCCCAAATTTTCGCTCATTGGTTGAAACCTTTAGGTGGAGCCGGTGAGCGCTGGAGCAACTCGACGTGCGCCGCCCAAATCTGCCGATTCTCTGTCAAAGTCTGAATTCATCTGAATTCAGTAGAGTCTTGTAGAAATTGAGCACAGCTACTACTGTAGCTACTGGCTTGAGGCGAAGGAAATCCTGCAAGGAAATCGGCCTGGACCAATGGGTGACTGAAGAGAAAGAAACTGCGACCAGCCTGGTTTCAAGGTGCATTTGCCTGCTGCAGAGGAGAAGGGGGTTTGGGTCTCCTGACTGGCATGACATGGACGTGTGCTCTGGGAAAGGTTCAGAAACACACCAGATTTTTGTTTGAACGTGTCTGTGGATAGCATGTCATTTACTGGTCATTGGTGTATTGTTGATTAAACCACCTCATGTTTTGCAGTACTACTTTAGGTTCTCAATGATCCTTTTCCGTTTTGAACTCGCTTCATGACCTGTTTGACGCAGCATTTCCCACCACCAGGTGAGAAGGTCAGATTACAGTACGCAGCCTTGTGAGCACCTGTCCTTGTCCGTCATGTCGTTCGTGCAGCAGTTGGGAAGGAACGTTGTCCGAGCCCAGCAGCAGTACGACATGGAACGGCAGCAGTACGAGGCCGAGACGCAGCGACTGCTGCAGCTCTGGGTGGCTGAGATCAAGGAGAAATTCATGGCCGAATGCGTCGAAGCATCTCACAAGCGGCACCTTTCCTGCACTATGGTGGTTGGCCATCCTGACCACCTCGCAGCCAGGGGTGCTGGCGGAGACCTGCTGAACCAGCTCTGGGGCATTCTGGCGGAGCTGGGCTTCCAAGATGGAAACGTTGCTCCTTTTGCTAAGAGACTAGCGCTTAGGCCTGATTCCAGCTACTGTGCCCTTCTTACCGGCAAGTGGACCGCCGAAGATGCAACTTCCACCAGCCCACAGCAGAGTCCCGCAGCCCGCGGTGGCACCTGTGTGACGTGCCCCATCTGCCACGAACATCGTCCAACCGTGGTCCTGGTGCCCTGCGGCCACGTGGTGTGCCGCGAGTGCCATGGTTGTCAGAAGCTGCGGCAGTGCCCCATGTGCCGGGAGGTGATCGCATCGACCAGTCGTGGGCTTTTCATGGACTGAGCATCCTGAGCCCCGTTGGCTGGTGGTGGGCAAGGTCTTCTTGGGATGATTTTGCCTAGCGGCCTGGCACATGGCAGCAAAAAGTGCTGCAGTTTTGGACACTTGAGACGTTTGGTGGTGAGGCTTTGTTTGTCTGAAGCTGGATGGCCCGTCCTTCCTGAGAGAATTTTTGCGCCAGATATGCGTGCATAGCCACAAGTGCATGTCCTCTCATGATGTGATTGATAATTACTTTATACGGTATACGGCTTATACCATCTTATCCCACACTTTGCAGCATACCAAAATCTACATATCACTTAGCTGGGAAGGCTTTGCTATCCAGAACTCACATCGAAGATTGCACAAATTTGAACTTGGCTTCAGTTAATGCAGGAGAGGATTTTAGTTCACATTCCACTTCCCTCGAAGAGTCTTCACGGCACTGCAGTGCAAGTGCAGATTTTGCCATGCTGACTTACAATCTCACTTCTGCTCGGAGCCGGATGCTAGACCTAGCACTCAGGGGGCTTCCGATTGACCATCCAATTGATAGCCCAGAAGCGGCTTGCTGATGCTTGTAGTGCATGTGAGAGAAGCGAGCAAGAAAGATGCAGCCTGGTTTTGTGCCAGTCAGCCGTTGCTTTGTTTCTACCATAGCCGTTGCTTCCTCACCTTGGATTGATGCACCCAGCAGAATCCGTGATGTTCCAATTTTTAGGGATCTGTCCCATTGGCAAATTGGGTTTCCACGGATCCCTGTTGGCTGCCAAGACTTTTGCCAGGACTTTTGCCTGCTGAGAACCTTCGGATGGAGTTTGGTGGAGACATTTGGTGAGGTGAGGGCGGACACTTGATGCATTTTGTTGTGTTGTATGTAGACCCAATCAATATCTAAAGAATTCCAAACATTTGTGTGCCATTGCATGACATACATGATGCATGCATTCTGCAAATAAATCATCCACAAAGTGTTTAGGTTTAGAATCGTTGCAAACTGCAGTGTGAGCCGGGGTTTTCCTTTGATGTTCCGAATTGTTCCCCACATTGACGTGTGGGGTTTTTGTTTTTAGTTCTGTATCCGCCTCCCGCCGCCTCCCGTCCCCTCACTCACACACTTGAACAATTACACACTCACTCACTCACTCACTCACTCACTCACTCACTCACTCACTCACTCACACTCACTCACACACTCACTCACTCACACACTCACTCACTCACTCACTCACTCACTCACTCACTCACTCACCTCACACTCACACTCACTCACACACTCACTCACTCACTCACTCACTCACCTCACACTCACACTCACTCACTCACACTCACTCACATTCACTCACACTCTCTCACTCACTCACACACTCACTCACTCACCTCACACTCACACTCACACCCACTCACTCACACACACTCACTCACACTCACACTCACCCACTCTCACTCACTCACACACTCACTCACTCACTCATGTGCATTTTGCGTGGCAGGCGTGGGAGAATGTGAGCAGCCAAGGGGTCGGATGTACGCCCTGGCGTCCCTCGGGCTCCGCGTCTTTTGCGTGGCAGGCATGGGCCTCCGCCGCTTTTGCGTGGCAGGCGTGGCACAATGTGAGCAGCCAAGGGGTCGAATGTACGCCCTGGCGTCCCTCGGGCTCCGCGTCTTTTGCGTGGCAGGCGTGGGACAATGTGCACTGCCAAGGGGTCGGATGTACGCCCTGGCGTCCCTCGGGCTCCGCGTCTTTTTGCGTGGCAGGCGTGGGACAATGTGCACTGCCAAGGGGTCGGATGTACGCCCTGGCGTCCCTCGGGCTCCGCGTCTTTTGTCTTTTGCGTGGCAGGCGTGGGACAATGTGAGCAGCCAAGGGGTCGGATGTACGCCCTGGCGTCCCTCGGGCTCCGCGTTTTTTGCGTGGCAGGCGTGGGACAATGTGAGCAGCCAAGGGGTCGGATGTACGCCCTGGCGTCCCTCGGGCTTCGCGTCTTTTGCGTGGCAGGCGTGGGACAATGTGAGCAGCCAAGGGGTCGGATGTACGCCCTGGCGTCCCTCGGGCTCCGCGTCTTTTGCGTGGCAGGCGTGGGGCAATGTGAGCAGCCAAGGGGTCGGATGTACGCCCTGGCGTCCCTCGGGCTCCGCGTCTTTTGCGTGGCAGGCGTGGGACAATGTGCACTGCCAAGGGGTCGGATGTACGCCCTGGCGTCCCTCGGGCTCCGCGTCTTTTTGCGTGGCAGGCGTGGGACAATGTGAGCAGCCAAGGGGTCGGATGTACGCCCTGGCGTCCCTCGGGCTCCGCGTCTTTTGCGTGGCAGGCGTGGGACAATGTGAGCAGCCAAGGGGTCGGATGTACGCCCTGGCGTCCCTCGGGCTCCACGTCTTTTGCGTGGCAGGCGTGGGACAATGTGCAGCAGCCAAGGGTCGATGTACGCCCTGCGTCCCTCGGCTCCGCGTCTTTTGCGTGGCCGGCGGGGACAATGTGCACTGCCAAGGGGTCGGATGTACGCCCTGGCGTCCCTCGGGCTCCGTGTCTTTTGCGTGGCAGGCATGGGACAATGTGAGCAGCCAAGGGGTCGGATGTACGCCCTGGCGTCCCTCGGGCTCCGCGTCTTTTGCGTGGCAGGCGTGGGACAATGTGCACTGCCAAGGGGTCGGATGTACGCCCTGGCGTCCCTCGGTCCGCGTCTTTTTGCGTGGCAGGCGTGGGACAATGTGAGCAGCCAAGGGGTCGGATGTACGCCCTGGCGTCCCTCGGGCTCCGCGTCTTTTGCGTGGCAGGTGGGACAATGTGCACTGCCAAGGGGTCAGATATATGCTTTGGCAGGCGTGGAACATGCACTTACTCACTCACTCACTCACTCACTCACTCACGCACTCACTAACTCACTCACTTACTCACTCACTCACTCACTCACTCATGCAGGATGGATGGATTGTTGATGGATAGATTGAACAGATAGATTGCTAGATAGATCGATAGATAGATGGATAGATAGCCAGAGAGATGTATCGATGGATAATAGATAGATGATAGATAGATATCCTGAAGGACAGATAGATAGATAGACAGGTCTGATAGATAGATAGAGAGATAGAGAGAGAGAAATAGATAGATGGATTGATTGATGGATGGATGCATGGATAGATATACAGATAGATCGATCGATCGATAGATAGATAGATAGATAAATAGATTGTTCGATAGGTAGCTTACGTCTCCCTGTCATGTTTTTGCTGGCATTTTTGGCCTTCAGGTGGCCTTTTGTGGCCTTCAGGTGCCCTTTTTTGGCGTCGGCTTGGCATGTTTGATATACATGGCTTACGCCATTCGTCTCCCTGCAGGACACATGCAAATATGTTCCCACCTGCTTCAGCACTGAGGTCGATGCCTTCGTCCTTACCAAACGGTTCGGCTTCGGTCGAGCCGACACCACGTTGGCCGGTGGTGGGGACGTTAATGGGAGGCTTCACACTCACTCACACTCACTCACACTCACTCACACTCACTCACACTCACTCACACTCACTCACACTCACTCACACTCACTCACATTCACTCACTCACATTCACTCACTCACTCACTCACTCCCTCCCTCGCTCACT